TATCATTATGATGACAACACTAATAATAATGATAACAATAAGTACAACAATGACAACAGTAATAATAAAAGTAACTGATAATTATGATTATAATGATAATGATGATAATAAAGTTAATGATGATAATAATAATAATAATAATCATAATAATAATAATAATAATGATAATAATAATACTGATACTACTACTACTCTAATAATAATAATATAATAATGATAATGATACTACTAATAATAATGATATAATAGTAATAATTAATAATAATAATAGTAATAGTAACAATAATAATGATAATAATAGTAATAATGATACTAATACTACTACTACTACTAATATTAATGATTATAATAATAATGATAATGATAATACTAATAATAATGATAATAATAATAATAATAATAATAGTAATGATAATAATAATAATAATAATGATAATAATAATAATAATATAATATAATAATAATAATAATAATAATAATAAAAATAATAGTAATATATATAATAATATAATAATAAAAATATAATAATAACAACAATAATAATGATAATAGTAGTAGTAGTAGAAATAATGATGATAATGATAATAAAAATAATAATAACAATTACATTGATGATGGTAATGGTGATAATCATAACATCTTAGACAGAGTCAAAAGATATACTGGTATCTATTCCGTCCTTAGCAACTGAAGACCACAAAAGTACGCTATTATGATTGCAAATTTTACGTCATTATCTTGCTTGTTAAAATGATTATCAGTAGTAGATTACAGAATACAGAATCAGCTTTATGATATGAAAACATAAACCACTAACAAAAGTAAGAGGAAATTTCATTCATACTTGACAAGTTCGGATCTTATCCTTGATAAAAACGTACTCAAAACATGCTAAAAAGGAGGAGGAGGAGGGGGGGGGTAGGAGGGAGAGGAGGAGGGGAGAGAGGAGGAGGAGGGGGGAGAAGGAGGAGGAGGGGGAGGAGGAGAGGAGGAGGAGGAGGAGGAGGAGGAGGAGGAGGAGGAGGAGGAGGGAGGGGAGGAGGCAGGGAGGCAGAGGGGGATGGGGGGGGGAGGGGGAGGAGGAGGAGGAGGAGGAGGAGGAGGAGGAGGAGGGAGGAGGAGGAGGAGGAGGAGGAGGAGGAGGGAGGAGCGGAGGGGATGAGGAGGATGAGGAGAGAGGGAAAGGAGGAGGAAGAGGAGAGGGGGACGAGGAGGAGGAGGGGGACGAGGAAGAGGAGGACAAGGAGGGGGAGGAATAAGATGAGCACATATATATACACATTTCCGTAAATTGCACCATTCAGTATCCATTTACTGCAGTCGTATATCCTTCCCAACTATATGATACTTACTTATACATTCAAGAACTGTGGATATTTGCATTCATAACACGACTCAGCTGACGAAGTTATGTAAATTGGCGGCTTCACTGCTGTCAAAATTAACGTAAAGGAAGTGAGGGAAATATGGATGAAAAAGAAAAGAACACGAAAAAGATTGAAGAAATAAAGAAACTATCGTAACAATGGTGATATTGGTAATTATTATTTTGATAACAAGGATGATAATAATGATGATAATAAAATAATAGTTAGAAGTAGTAGTAACTGTAATAACAATAACAGCGATAATGATGATAAAGCTAATAATAACAATGGTAACAGTGATGATAATGATTATAATAACGATAACAGTGGTAACGCTAATAACAACAATGATATGATAGTAATAACGATAATAACAATAATAATGCTAATAACAACGATGATAATCATACTAATAAAAGTAATAATGATAACAATAACGACAGCAACAACAACCAAATAATGATGTTAATGATAATAAAAGCAACAACCGCAGCAACAACAATAATAACAACAATATCAATAGTAATAACAGTAATAATGGTACTCATGATATCAATGGTAAAAATAAAAGCAACCATGATGATGATACTAATACTAATAATGATGAAGATGCTGCTAAGGGTAATGATCGTAAGAAAAATAATAACAGTAATGGTAAAAAAATACAATAATAGTATCAACAATAATTATAGTATTAATGGCGGCAACGATAATAATAGTAATAATGATAACGATAGTAATAATAATAATGATAATAAATATAATAATAATGATTACAAAAATAATAATAATGAATAATAATAATAATAATAATAATAATAATTAATAATAATAATAAATAATAATAATAATAATAATAATATATGATATATAATAATAATAATGATGATATAATAATAATAATAATATAATAATAATAATATAATATGAATATAATAATATAATAATAATAATAATAATAATAACAATAATAATAATAATAATAATAATAATATAATATATAATAATAATAATAATGATAATAACAATGATAATGATAATAATGATGATAATGACAATACTGATGAAAATGATAATAAAGAATAATTTTGATATTAAAAGATATAATAACAATGGTAACATCGATAATAACA